GAGTCTCAATCTCTTCAATGGTCTCGCCATTTCTGTTGTTTCTGAAAAATCGGTTGGAGAGTTGGATTTTCTTCACTACACTAAGTGATCAATTCGACTCAATCAGTTTCGAGGTTTAAAGACCTGAAGATGTCAACCCTCAGTAACGTTTTCAAGGCAGATATTGTACTACAGAGAAAAAAGTAACAAAATTTGATGCCATTCCGACATTTACTCACTTGGACAATATTACTGGTGCTCATGCTCACTGAATTGTTGCGGAGCATATGATGGTCGAGATTTTGAATTTTGAAGAGTTCTTTAGTGTCCCTACATCTCCAACAAACTGTTAAGTTCGAAAAAAGTCTTGGAGTACTTGTAGAAAAGTGAAAATTTATGCATGAATTCCAGACAGAAGCAATAATGACTATTCTTCCAAGTAAAGGCTATCGCTTCCTACGATTTTCTGCTATCGGACCGCCAAGTTTTGTCAAAGATCTCTTTAAGTGCTTTTTCAGGTTCATCAAACGACTCAAACTTTGTTGAATGTCCTGAACTAGGCTCGTGTCCGAGGTCTAGATCGCCGGCATTGAGAAGCGTTGAAACCAGCGTCCATCAGCGGATTTGCTTGATAAGCCTTCCCTGTCAACTTCGTGTAGCTCGATGTGAAAGACCCTTTCTCCAATGATGACGCAATAAACGCGAACTGGATTATTCGTTAGACAGGGCGGAGGCTTATAACAAAGTGAAAACAAAGAAGAGTAATATCTAGCCCCACTGCGGGAAAATCTCACATGTGTAAGTGCAATATTTCCATGATATGCATGGAAGCTATTCCATTGCTCATTAAAGTGCATCAGAATTTTCTTTGCAAAAGTAGTGAGAAATGTTTTGAACTCTGTTTATGATTGCACAAGCCGTGATTGAAGCTGAATAAGCTATTGCATTTTCAGCCGTTCCGTGTTTTGAGAGTTCCTTGTCGTTTTGGTTGAATTGCCAAACAATGAACAATTTCGCTACAGTATTCTGCCTGCACTTTCAATACGATTTCCTTATACTGCGCGAATCTTAAGACGTTTTTTTGCATGGAATGCCATCACCTATATTGTTGTATCCCTGATTGTCGAGTGGCTATCGCGGTGCTCTCCCTATTCTCCTAATACGTCGAGCAGCCTCAGTAAGTCCTCCTCATTGAAGGGATTGCTTGGGCATCATGTCCATCTTAGAGATTTTCTTTGAAGAAGTTGGACCGCAACAGGTGGCCTTCTTATTGTGTGATAACATTTCAACGGATTCTCCCGCTTGCGTGTATCGTCATCCGCTGTCAGCAAAACGCATTATGTGTCCAGCTTAAGGTCTTTTTCCAAATCCTCTCCATTGTTCTTTACATTCTCCAGTCATCGTCCCATCTCGTTATAAAGACTTGCCCTCCATCAACTTGTTTTTGATGTTGATGCATTTTTGCTCTTCTTCGAAGGCAGGGCATTCTTCCAAAATGTGAATTGGGAAACCTGGCTGAGTGTTGAAAGTGTTCTCAAAAGACGTAGTTTCATTGAGAAATCCTAGCACATGTTCCAGCCACAAACTGCAAAACTGGGACTGTCGCCTCGAATATGTAGATGTGTTAGGATAATGAAATTGGCCAACGGTCTCTGACAAAAATTCAAGCTCGGCTCACGCTGCCCTTTGTCTTCCATCGGGTTGTATTCCAAGTTGTTATACACACTCAGAGAAAGTTTAAGAATCATATAAGTAATAGTCTACCCAGCTGGTGATCCTTCCGGTTCAGTCCATTCTCCTTACACCAGGCCTCTTTCATGACTGGGTTTTGACATGGTATTACTTAGAAACCTCTACAATTTTTGAAGGTGATCAGGAAGTAATCCATGCATGCACGTGTCCTTTTTTTTTGCAAGTGTGGCTTTGTCCAGTTTCAAAAGTGAGTTTCAGAATAACTTCCATTACACAACGCGCTCAATGTGCTGATCAGCCGCTATCTAATTACGTCGATCGTTATGCCACGATTTACAAATGGCAGTACATGAATTTCGCACTATTTTCGAATGCTCTTGTGTTCTAAGGTTATCGTTGACTACATCCATGAGAAAATTCTCTCAATCAAGCCCAATAGAGTGAAGAACTGCCAATCACTTTCCGTTGAACGGTAGACGACCACAAGTCATTACAGGAAGCTCAAATGCATTTTTTCGCCTTTGTAGAGGCACAAGCTTGATGGTAATCTTGAGATGAACGGACAACGCTCCCAATTTTCATCGAGCTATCTATCCATTATGGAATTTAACTTATGTTTTTATGATCGACTAGCACTGCGTTCTTCTCATTTCATTCTATAACAAGTTTGAGGTTATTTCTTGCGTGACATATTCTTTTTTTCAACAATATTTAGTGTCAAGGCTTTAAAATAGTTTCTCCACTTCCACTCACAGTCAACGAAATCAAGGGCGACTGTAATGGCAATTGAAGATACTTAGTACAGAGGCTGGCCTCACCTGTTCGGAATCTCGACAAACCGCGCTCTCCCAATAGAAGAGTGCGGTAAACTTCTTTATGAGGGCTCACTAATTTGACAGCATTATTTAGTACAGATAACGAAAAAAGTCAATAAATTTAGTCAAATGGATCAAATCATGAGTTCGCTGTAATGCTATGAAAGTAAACGCTTTATTCCAGCTATATAGCTGGTAATTTTTTCTTCATATTGAACTATTCTCGTAAATACCTAAAATTTAGCAGATATTTTTCTGTCATAAAATGCTATTCCTTCAGCATTGAGCATAAGGTTAATAGCTGGATCCGAGGAGCGAGAATTTTCAATTGAAAAGATCACAAAAAGTACGAAAGCTGTTGGAATCAGCAAAGCAATACGTGATGTGAAATGCTACTGTGAGTGTTCTATCAGAAATTCCTTGTCTTTCTTTTTGAGTCAAACACGAGATTTTAATGACATACAGTATTCAAACAGCTGGCGTTTCTGAGGTTCTCATTCGTCGAGAGTGGGAAGATTAAGCTGCCCACAATCCAGTTGGCCCGAACATCTCCATTGCTTCATTAAAAGAAAAATCACCAAATCTAGATTCTAGTCACATCGGCCGCCACAAAATAACTTTCAAGATAGCGCTCTTGATACGTGCTCCACTAAATTGCTCAAATGGAGATCAACCGAACAGCGATTACCAAGACTGGTAGTCACATGAACTACACTTTTGAGGCTATTTCATATTTAATGCAGTGTTTTTATGTGTGTATGCTTGCATCGATATGTGTATGTGCGCATATATGTCTTTATCACTGCGTATGTTTTTATAAATGTGCGCCCTTTCCACTGTCTTCTCGATGAGTAGACATATTGTTTTATTGGTTTCCTAATGGATAGTGCTTTGATTAGTTTAGCTTTCTTGGCGATTGTACAGGAGTAGTTAGGCTTTGGTACTTATTGCGAGTTAAGTTGTGCTGTGGCCGGATGAGTCACTCAATTTTATCTCTTATTTCCGCCATTTACACATAGGCAATATACAACGACGTGAAATACAGTGCGATAAAAAATAAAGCTCTCGGCGTTGATCAATCCCTTGCGGACGCGCCATGCATTCGTCTTCTGAGTGCATATCAGGCCTTCACAATGACTCGCGGGTGCCTCTCGCTCTATCAAGTCAGTGGTGCTTCTCCTCCCAGACGAGTCCGAGAGCTGTCTGGTACCAGTTTAGCGATCCCAGAGGGATGGATGGTTTGGTGAGTCATGAGCGCGAGATCGCACCACTGACCTCGTGCGCGACGCATAGCACCTGTAACCATGCGTCACGTGCGCTCTTCTACAACGCGATATGACTAGGATATTTTAGAGCCAAGAAAGGTGGATGTCGTAGCCGAGTTCCAAATAGCGTCTGTAGACGTGTGGAACTGCTGGGGCCGTGACTTTTCCCTAAATTCTGCTTCGGTTTAGACTGTGAATAGCTGTAAAGCACAAGACTGCTTGAATGTTATGGGAAACATTTCTTGGTTACCAATTGAAAGGCACGAGTCTTCGTGTTGCGCGGACACACGGCCGGCTGGTGTTTAGAACAGAAGCTGGTTATTATTGCGCAAATTCATCGGCAAGCTTGTGTGAGAACCACGGCCTGGCTGTTGTAATTCACTGTGCAACGAATAACTACACTGATTATCTGCAACTAGATAAATTGATAATCACAAGCATAAGAGATGAGAAAAAGTAGTAGTTCTTCCGCTCCATAGCTGCTATATAGTTCTTATTACTCCATTTTCACAATTTCTCAGGTCTTACCGGTTTCTCTTCTTATCGGAATGAAAAGATCAGTTTGACAAGTATGAGTGTGTATTTGTGTGTGTGTGTGTGTGTGTGTGTGTGTGTGTGTGTGTGTGTGTGTGAGCGTGTGTGTGTGGTGTGTGTGTGTGTGTGTGTGTGTGTGTGTGTTTGTGTGTGTGTGTGTGTGTGTACGAGAGTGCCTACACGTAAATGTATGTACGTATGTGTGCCTGTTTTCATGAAATCTATTTTTTCTCAATCCAGTTCGCTACGTCTTTCTTAACACTTCCTATCACATGCCTTGTTCATGTATCAAAACGTCAGCGATGTAATACGACAGAATTTCGATTCGCAATAATTAAACAATACTTACTACAGTTCGATTATACACAATAAATGCCTACATAAAAATTACGAAAGATATGCACAAAACCTTGGTGTTATTACTGCCTTTTCGCGGTGTTATGATGTACCACAAATACCTAAGAGAATTGAGTGGTGAGCTGTCAATTCCCGCCTGAGGTTGTTTTTTCTTACCACTCAATTAGGTATTTATTAAGCATCATAACACTGCGAAAAAGAATTAATAGCATCAAAGATTTTGAGTATTACTTATCATGATGGCTGTCAGCTCAGCTGGGTTTATAAGGCGAAATCGCATACCCGACCAAACCTTTCAAAGGTTGGTGGGCTGATAGCTAACATAGAGATGTTGAAGAATAAGTGGTCGGGCAAATGTGCCTCGGTGGAGTAGTGGTAGAGCACGCGTCCCCGGATAGGATGAAACGAGGGTGCGATTCCCGCTTGAAGCCGTTTCTTGCTCGCCACTCAGTTCTCTTAGGTATTTATGAAAGATGTAGAAAAAACGAAGCACAATTCTTGTTTCTCGACCAACCTACCACCGTGCTTTTCGTCTTACATTGAGGCTCTCTGATTGCTTTTTTCGTTGAATGCGCTGACTCATTGACCATTTTTCCATCCTGAAATTCTTTCTCTCTTCTGACTTTCTTTTGAAAGAGTAAAAAATGCGATGATATTATGAAAAAAATCCAATGAGCCTTCTGACCTCGTAACTAACCGGGTAGTCCCTTGATTATGATCTGTTGTTTCGTCAACATATGGGTAAAGGATAAAGCTTTCGGCGTTGATCAATCCTTGAGTGATGCGCCATGCATTCGACTTTGATTTCTGATTTCATTTGCGGTGATTGAATGCATATCTGGACTTTACGATGACTCACGGTGGCCCCCGCTGAACCGAATAGTGCTACTTATTCTCCCAGACAAGTCCGCGACCAGTCTGGTACCAATTTATTGACTCCTGTGGAAGAGATGGCTTGGTGCGCCATGAGCGCGAGATCGAACCATTGACCTTGTGCGCGACACAGACAACCTCTACTAACATTCGCCAACATATGCATCAGAAACTTTGTCGCTACGTGAGCAGAATGGAAGATACATGGCATTATGAGGGCACACTAAGAATTTCATCAGCAAGCATCTCCTATCTTGCAAATGGAAAGAAGGATTTGAAGTTCTTTCTTACCTCAACGATCAAAGATCAACTTTTGTTCAACACGATATATATCGATCGAAGACTAATAAGAGAATAAGAGAATAAGATGGACTGAACACGTAATGAATTGTAGCGACAGCCGATGGGCCGTAGCCGTTACCAACTGCCTAGAAATGTCGCAAGACCGACTATCCAGTGGTCATAAGTCTTCACGAAACGCCTAACAGGAGATGTGATGTAAAACGCATCTTTACTATGAAGGCGACCCACTGTTGTACTCTTGCACGCGATAAGGAAAAATGAAAGTTCTACCTGGGCCCGCCTGAGTAACTCGACGATCAATACGACGGATGACATGATGTTTGTTTTTAGAAGTCTGATCTTCAACAATTTTCTAGATCGTCATCTGTACTTTAATTTCGTTAAGAGAGCGCAGTTAAGAAAAAATACTCAGCAAAGTGGTACACACATCTAGTGGCACAGCGTTCGAAAAAATGCTCCAACCTGACAAAATGTAGAGGTATGGAAAATAGTATTACTTTCTGGACAGCCTAGTAACGTCGTTTCCTTTGTCACTTTGCATTTATTATTTGTTAGCATGCATTTAGCACAGAATCATCCCCTTTTATGCTATATTTCACCTGATAATTTACTCAAATCGCTTCCATTTTGTAGAATCTATCGACTGATTAAACTCACATGCAACTATACTATTAATATTTTTTCATTCATATCAGACGACTTGATCTTTATCAGAATCTGAAGAAATACTTCGTTTCAAGGTTTATTGATGCGCATTTAGAAGTTGACAATTAGCGGCTTGTTGTTATATCTGGGCAGAATCGGAAGTGCTCACAAGCTTCGAGCACAATGAAAGATGATTCTCTCATTTGCAACCACACTTCAAGCTGATTGGCTACTGCATTATCAAAACCCTTGCAAAAGCTGCTCTTTCCACCTGGTTCATACTTTCTGCAGGCCTTCTGGAACGATCACTTTTATTGTTTCAGTGGTTGAAAAAGTAACAAGATCCTTTAATCGACTATTTTGTTACGTTGCTCCAAAATATAGTATGGTGATATATCTTGAGCTTTTCATGAGGTCTAAAGTGCTAGACGCGTGTCTCGGCCTTCCAACCTCATCAGTAGCACTGAGTCTTTTCGTCTTGTCCATTTCTCGGAGACATATCTCTTATATGGAGGAATCGACGACAAACTTTTTACACTCGATGTACAATGAATGTATCACTGTGGCGCTGTAAGAACGTTGAAAGAACGCTGGAAGAACAATATTTCTCACAAACTGCCCTTTTCATTATTTAGAACTTGCACAAGGTTTGAGCTTAAACGCCCTCATTGACAGGTCACTGACATGCGTGGCTCAAATAATGATTATCAGGAATGATTTTATAGTACCATAAAACCTTATTGTTACGAAGGTGACACTTCCATAGAAAAAGCTTCTCATATTAAGCTATGTATGTGTGTATGCATGTATGTATGTATGTATGTATATCCGTATGTATTTATGTATGTATGTATGTATGTATATCCGTATGTATTTATGTATGTATGTATGTATGTATGTATGTATGTATGTATGTATGTATGTATGTATGTATGTATGTATGTATGTATGTATGTATGTATGTATGTATGTATGTATGTATGTATGTATGTATGTATGTATGTATGTATGTATATATGTACGTATGCATGCATGTATGTAATGGCATCTGTGTTATTACTACCACTTTATATACTCCAGTGGTCCGAAATTATATATATTATTGCCATTATTTGGATTGTTCTGGAATCTTTAGTACATCTACTTAAGTATATAGACATTTTTTTTTCATACTATACATGCTTCATTATAATGACTGAAGAAAGAATATCACTCGTCTACCAGTTAGATAGCCGGTTAGAGAAAATTTGAAAAATCGCCCCCTTTTGTTTATCTCAGTGTACAAACTGAGGTTTTTCTATCAATGCTCAATACAACTTCGCTTGCAACGTTCAACATAGAATTATCATTTCGTTATAACAAATGTGGCGAAATAAATTCTACGTGGCGGAAGAAGTCGCCAAAAGATGCCAACCGAAATGAATATGTATAGCGTTACGTCTCAATAATCTCATAACAGATTTGATTTAATTTCATATTTGATAATCTCGTCTCATTATTTATATTATCTATTTGATAAAAACTTTTGTGGGTCAACGAATCCATGCTTACGAAGAATAAGATCATAGTTTCACCAAAATAAAGCGGCTTTTCTGTAGCTCAAGGAGCATGTCTCCATTTTTTGCTCCAAATCCCATTTATGGAGCAGGGAAGTGAATGAACAAACAGGATTGCTCAGTGGAACTCAATGAACCGCCACTGACTGGTTTATGTTTCTGTTTGAGACCATTGAATGGCAACTCCCTGATCTAGCGCGATCAGTTCAGTGAAGGACACGAGTTTCACTTATCGATAATCTGCTGGTCTTCCGGCAATAGACAGTAGCATTATGCTGGTTTAAAAAGTAACTGCGATTTGTACATTGTTAAATGGGTTGATTGTTAGTGATGTGTTTACCATGAAATGTGTTTTTTTACATAAATTCAATGCATTTTTCTGCTATATGTTCTGCTGTTGATGACTTATCACTTAGCGTTTCTTTTATATTTATTTTCGACTATGCTAGAAATGCTGGCTAATGCAGAAATAATTGGAGTTTCACACCGCGAGTTTGAAATGACGTAGAGTAGCAAGGTCAACTGAACACATCAACAACACGTTAGGCTTAAAATTGCTAATGAAAGTACGCTGCAGTGGTAATTTATGATGTTTCGTAAAGGAAATGTACTTGAAAATTGATAAACCTCATTATTTATGCATCAAACTTATCGGGAAATGATAAGAAAGCAATCATTGAAGCTGATCCTTCAAGACACACGGATTGTTGCAAAAAGTTCAACGCCGATCATCTGAAAATTCTCTGCATCTGAACAAATTTCAAAGTTATTGCGGTTTCAGTACGGTCTGAATCCGCCATCGCTTTTGTACTAACCTAATAATACGTTGTGTAAAAAATTGCATATTCTTGCGCAATGTAATTATGCGTTTTCTTTCGAATAGTTTGGTATTAAGTTTTCCTATACTTGTTTTTAGATAGAGCTGGTTTGGAGACAAATTCCGAATAGCGCGTAGGAGAAAATATTAGTAAAGCGGCGCGCGAGATTAATGGAGCTTGGCGCAACGATATGGTTGCGGAAAGGACGGCCAAGAAGAGGCTCGCAAAATTCAAAGCTGAGCAGTCTGGAGAATCAGTAGCGTTTAAACTGCTCACACGAAATTGATCTTCAAGCTGTTCTTGAGATTTTCGGAGAGAATCCCTCAATGATATGCCGCATGTTAGTCGACACGCCATTCGTGCACAAGTAGCAAGCAAATTTGTTTCCAAGACAGCTCCATCTTAGCGCAGGTATAGGCGATTTGTATACCAAGACGTTCGTAAGAAAATACGTACTTGGACTGTACCGAAACCGTGCAATTTTATCACATAAATTATATTAAAAAGCCAAAACAACACGAAGTTCTCAATCAATTTAGTATTTCAATAACTGCAAGACTTGACAAATTCCAGGCAGCGTATCATTCCAGAAAACACTTTGCTCTGTTGATTTATGGGTATAGGTGGTAAATAAAGTACTATTTACTACAAGGAAGCACCGTTCGTCATAGAACCTCTTGCTGCATTTAAAAGCGTCTGCAGCATAATTAGGGACCATTTCTGCCTTTTTCAAAAATCTGTCGATTTCGTTCCACAGGCATGACTAGACAGAGTTATTGGACTTACAACACTAGTCATTTGACAGTCAAACTATCCCTCAACAGAGTCCATCGTAAATAAATATTTTCTGTGTGCTTCATAGTGTCAGAAAAAAATTTTCTTCCTCAGCGCTTGCCACAACATTTAACTTGAACAATGTCAAGAAATCCTGGGATAAAAGTGAAAAACACTGAAGCAGAAAACCCTTAAAACTTCTTAGATAAATTTCAAGCATCCAAAACTGAAAAAACTTGAAGGGAGACAGTGTGAACATTAATGGCACGTCACCTTATCTCAAAATGATCTTCTAGTGATAGTAAGATTTAATAATCATCATTTGTGACAACACACAGGTGGCCGCTTTTTTATAAGCACGGTGGGTTTCATATAATAGATCAACACTTAGATTGATTTTGCATAAGATTGTGACTAGATATGAGGCATTCATAGATTAATTTGATATGTTACGAGTGAATT